TTCGGGGCAAAATGGACAAAAAAAGACACTTCAACTTGGCAAATTTATAAAGGAATAATAAACATTTATGTCATTAAGAGTTATCCTTCTTATCAGAGTATCAATGTACCTTAAAGTGAAGCAATTATCGTTTTTTTTTATTGGGCGTCTCCTAGAATTTTTCACTCGTATTGAAACCACACCAGTTGCCAGTGGAGGGTTGCAATTTAGACCTATACTCCGCGTTACCGGCTTCGGAGCAGTGGATGATCTTTTCATTCTAACATCTTCTGTAGAACAGGATCTCGGTTTATACGGTCTCTTCCGATGAACAGGTCTCCACGTCCCACAATGGAATTCTTGGAGTAATGAGTTGATCCTTACATCGCCAGAGGATCTACACCCTACTTCATAACCTTGAGCAAAGGCTCCATTAGAGCTACCTCAACAAGCTACATTGTAGCGATTCTACATGAAGTTTTACGGGAAAAACTTCTCAAGTACTACAATTTTGTAACTTTTAATCTGAAATACAATGAGAAAATAAGGCTGCCAAACAATAATTTCATCGAATTTTTTTTATAATTTATATTTGTTTTCATTTAGTACCGGGTATATGTTTCCTTCAACATGTTCAATTTCATCTTTATCAGTCATCACTATTTTTTTTTCAAATATGACCTGCTTTTAAATAAATCAATCTTTTTTCTCTCGTTGTAATATCCTGCGGAGAAATGAAGACTTTGCTTGAATCGTACAATGAAACAAGGGTTTTCTTCGTCATGGTATATGGTAGAAAAGTAGGATAAGTATTGCAACAATTAAATATTTTATAATTCATTTATTTATTACATGAAAATATGCTATTCAATTGATTCAAAGGGTTTAAACACCGGAAAGAAGTGGAATCTACTTGACAGCTGTTATAAATAGTCATTTAAAAACGTATTGTTTGAATATCAGTGATAAGGACGTCAGAAGAGGCACGATTTAAAAAGCATCTCATCTTAATCGTCTCAATGTTTGTTACACATAAGGAGTTTGAAAACAGGAAGTATTTTGTACCCTTCCTTTTTAATATGGAAATGGAAAGGACAAGGTATATCGAATGTAAGTACTCTCTCTGTATTTAGATAAAATGTTTGCACTGGACATATATATATTTTTTATTTATAAATAAAAAAAATGGACCCTGAAGAGAACACTTTTACCTAATTTTGGCAATAAAATGTCTCTGACAAATAAAAATATAGCCCATACTTATGTTAAGGAAGTACAAAATTTATATAAATGTTTATGTGAAGAACGTCTATAGGACGTGAAGATTCAATTTTGAAATGTAACATGTACTCAAGTCTATTATCTACCAAAGAAACAGTGCACGTGTATTCATATAATATGAATCATTAAGAATTCTACGGTGACGGTCATTGCAGAGATAAAAGAAATGCCGAGGACTTTATTCTCCAATATATCACGAACGTCATCAAAACATTATCAGATCAGAAACACGTATCAAACGTGTGCAATTGAAATGAATATTTCACTGTAGAATGAAATACTTATTATGTTCCCCAAACGAAGTTGGGGAACATATTGTTTTTACTCTGTTTCTTATGTTTATTATTAGGGTCTTCCGCTTCCTTCGGAAGACCCTACTGTTATTCTACTGTTTCTTATTATTATTTTATTTTTTTTTTTCCCGTTCGATTTTTGACAGGCGATTTCTCAAAGACCTTTGGACTGATTTTTATGAAACTTTCAGGTTAGATACCTTGTAATTAAACCTATTTACACCTGTTTTCAATTTTTTGATGCATGCCTTTAATTGTGAGTTATTGCCCTTTAATTGGTAATTTTGATGTCTCGTTTCCACTAAAAATCTCAAGAACGACGTAAGATATTTACAAAAAAAGTGGAGAATTTGTAGCCAATACATTGTAGATGTGCAGAACGATAAAATTATAAGCTGATTTCCTAAAGTTTGGAAGCTAAAAAACGGCAAATTTCAGTAATTTTTTTCTTTGAATTTTTGCTACTTTTTGTGTAATAACTTTTAAACCGAGAATAATTTGGTTAGAAATATATAACAAAAGTTGTGGGTAATTACGAGAGCTTTCATATTTGATTAATGAAAAGGGGCTGGCCCCAAATTGGGGGTTAATAGCTATACCCCTTTTTTCTGATAGCTAAAAATATTGGTATATTATGAAAAAGTTTGACTAAATAATTTCAACTTATAAAATTTTGTCATTTGATATAAAAAAAAAAAACTTCCAGCTATATTTAATTGATTTTTTTATAAAACAAGTACATGTATGTGAGAAACCTTTCAGGAACAAGTTGTCATATAGCCAGCCAAGCCTTTACTGCATACATGTGCACATTTTTAGTTGATGCATCTAAAAGATATAGTTTTGATTGGTGTTTCTTTGTTTTCTTTTTATTCAAATAATTTTAAAATGTGATGATGTACACAACAATAATTAGTACCTAGTTTAGAGGATTTTTTCGCGTTGTTTGTAAACAACGCGCGGCTTGTGGGAAATAGGAAGGTACAAAAGACGCGATGTACTAAACACTGATTTGACCTGATTCAAATTTGTCTGTAAATGTTCCAAACAATTGAATTTTTGTATAGCATATGCCTCGAAGTCATAAAGTCTGTAAATAAGTAATTTAAAATACTCAATATTACCATTTAATTAAAAATTAAAACGTCAGGTAAATATCAGGTCTCTAGTATATCCCGTTTTTAATGTGCCCCTTCGAGTGACGTCGGACACATTTTTCCATGGTTTACAAACTGAAAATAGAATGATTTGTGAAAATGAACATTTTCTCACAAAGAATCCGTTTGTAGACATGTACACTCATTTAATCTGCAGAACGAAGTACTTTGTCACTTCTCTGGAACATTATTCTAAGCAGAATTATCCCGATTCATATATTCTAAGAATCTTGTGTGAATTGTTTACGAGGAAATTCTGACTGTCACATTAACAAGGATGAACACTCTTGACTCTGCTTCGGATTCCCCAGTGATAATTGTATCGAGTGATGAAAAGCTGACGGCGACATTTTAATGTATGATTGGCTTGGACCATTGGAATGAAGGTTAGAATATTTTTATTACTTAAAATTTACACTACTGATTACATGACAGTGACATACATTGATGTTATTAAAAATACACAGACACACCGATATATTATCTGTTTTACAGTTCAAGTCTCTGTTTACCTTGTAAACCCCACAGCTTTATATTTTATTTTTTTTAAATTTGAGGATGTAATTTCAACAGTCCTACTAACTATCATAGTGATCATACTCTATAATTCAAACTGCACTTAATGTTACAGAATATATTCAACTAATTATATATTGACAGTGTGACTGTAAGGGTAAGGGCAGATACTTATTTAGTTTTAATTTAGATTGTGCTTGTCAAGCCGCATTTGACATTTGGTGCATAAATGCTAGTGTTCACAGTGAGAGTTTATTAAATGTTTAATTCAATGAATTCACTGCTCATTAAATTATTCCCATTAGCTAATGTGAACATGAGTAAGGATAGCTAATTCAAATTAAATAGAAATGAATTTTGAATGTAGCTTAAACATTTTAAAAGAAGCTAAGCACCGTGGGTCCAAAGTACACTGCGGAAAAATTGTGTGGAGCAATGTGCAAGTCACAATCTTCTTTTGCCAAGGTCTTATCATAAGAGCTCGCATCATGGGCAGGAATTTGTGCTGCTGTCTGGACTCGCTATAAATAGATGTTCTAAAAAAGTTTAATTATTTAAATCAACTTTACTGACAAAAAAAGGACAAATATTGCTCAGTTAAATTGCAAAAGAAATTTGTTTAAAAAAATTGTAATCATAGAAAGTTTTTTTTTTGTTTGATAAGACTGCTGTAATGGTTTAATGTTTGTTTATTTGCCTTAATCATACATTTTTCAGTCATTTCATGGTCCCACCACTTGGGATGGTATTAGCTGCAAATATAGACTTGTACTCAGCACTTATTCCCTTTTAAGTTGAGATCCATTTTGTGCTAACACCTACCGTGACACAGAATTTTTGGTTTATGCAGTCTCATAGGAGTAACCTGTCTAAAGCATTTAGCAATGGGATTGGAACCTGCGACGTAAGGTTCAGCTTTTATTGATACTTTGATTTATAATATTTATTTGAGAATTTCACTATTCACATACTTAGAGATGTTGATATATATTGTTGAATAGCATCAATTTAGACCTTTACTTAGCTAAGTAAACATGTACTGTGAGGTTTTTAAGGTCTCATTCTTTTTATATGCCAGATGCATGTTAAGGAACATTACTGCATAAATGTTTTTGTCTTAAATTTGAAGCTCTTTCTAATTAGAGATATGTTAGTGTTAAACCTCTTCAAATTAGGGTAGACCTTTACTTTAAACTCAGCAATGAGTGTGTTGTGTGAACTTGTGTTAGCGAGACAGTGTGTTGCATGAATTTGTGTTAGCAAGGCAGTGTGTTTTGTGAACTTAATTGTGTTAGCTTGACAGTGGGTTGTGTGAATTTTGTTAGTTTAGATATGTTGCGTAAACTCGTGTTAGCGGGACAGGTGTTGTGTGAAATCGTGTAAAAAGTGTAAGTGTGACAGTGTGTTGTGTAAACTCGTGTTAGCTAGACAGAGTGTTGATTAAACTCAATTCTCAGACTTCGTGTTGTGTAAACTCGTGTTAGTGAGACTGCGTGTTGTGAAAACTCATGTTAGCGAGACTGCGTGTTGTGTAAACTCATGATGATGTTAGCGAGACAGCATGTTGTGTGAACTCTTATTAACGAGACAGCATGTTGTGTGAATTCGTGTTAGCGTGACAGTGTGTTGTGTGAACTTGTTATCCTGAAAATTTGTGTGTGAACTGGTGTTAGACAGATAGTATGTTGTGTGAACTGTGTTAGCGAGATTGCATATTGTGTAATCGTGTTAGCCAGACTGCGTGTTATGTGAACTCGTGTTAGCGATATTGCATGTTTTTTGAATTTGTGTTAGCGTGACAGTGTGTTGTGTGAACTCGTGTTAGCCTGACAGTGTGTTGTGTAAAATGGATTAGGATGACAGTGTGTTGTGTAAATGGTTTAGGATGACAGTGTGTTATGAAACAGCGTTTGGTGCGAACTTGTGTTAGTGAATATGAGACAGCCTTTTTTGTAATTCGTGTTAGCGTGACAGTGTGTTGTGTGAACTCGTGTTAGCCTGACAGTGTTTTGTGTGAAATGGTATTGAATGACAGTGTGATGTGTGAAATGGTATGAGGATGACAGTGTGTTATCGCAACAGCATTTGGTGCGAACATGTGTTAGTGAATAGTGAGACAGCCTGTTTTGTGACTTTGTGTTAGCGTGACAGTGTATTGTGTAAACTCGTGTTAGCGTGACAGTGTATTGTGTCTGTGTTAGTGAGACTGCGTGTTGTGTAAACTCATGTTAGCGTGACAGTGTTTTGTGGAATTCATCTAAGCGTGACAGTGTGTTGCGTGTACTTGTGTTAGCTAGACAGTGTTTTGTATGAACTCGTATTAGCGAGACTGCGTGTTGTGTAAAACTTGTGTTAGCAAGACAGCGTGTTGTGTGAATTGTGTTAGCGAGACAGGGGTTTTTGTGAATTTGTGTTAGCATGATAGTCAGTGTTGTGTGAACTCGTGTTAGCCTGATATTTTGTTGTGTGAAATTGTATTAGCGTGACAGTGTGTTGTGTGTTAGTGTGACAGCGTGTGGTGCGAACTTGTGTTAGTGCGAAAGTGTTTATCAGTGTTGTGATGGCGAGCGGTTATAGCCTAATGGCGTCTTTTGTGTCGGAAAGATGGCACGCTTTTATGAAAGTGCTATTGAGCTTTAGCAAGTGGCCCTATCTGGAAGCCTTTTAAAACGATAGTTCTCAGATATACAGTGAATTACCGGTATTTTTTCCCCATGAATTCAGCATTTACAGTTGCAATTACCTAGTTAGTAATCATAAGATAATGGTTTGCGAGTTTTAAAATTATGGTGTTCCAATATGTGAAGTTGCAGTGTGTTAGCATGTTAATTTCAAAGACTGCCACTCCAATGCAGCTTTAAAAAACGCGCTGCTGTGTTTACACAAAACAAAATATCATGCAAACACAACTCTAAACAATCTGTTGAGTGTTCTTCACTGCATGTTGGATTCAGTGTGCTGGCATATTATCACTGGACATGCTAGCACATTGTCACCTCGTGCTAGTATGTTGTCATAAATACTCTAGCACATTATCCTAAACCCACTAGTGAGATTACTTTGCACTTGTATGTTGTCTTATTAGGGGATAGCATAAATGACTGCCTTAATTGGTGTAAACTTCTTTTAATTGATGAAAGAGTACATTAAAATTTACAAATTATACACAGAAAATGTGCAAATCTTATCTCTCAATTTGATAATCTAATTTATAATCTCATGAATTGCACTTTTTATTAGTAAAAGAATTATAAATTAAAAAATTTCAATTTCTTTTGGATAGATGTGACTCATCTGAATACTGAATTTTGATACCAAGCATGACCATGATTTGCCAGAAGATCATCTGTTTGGATGTGACATGGAATAAACAGCATAGTGAAAATAAGTCAAGTTTTGGTTTGTGAAGACAATTTTTAAACACACTGTGTATCATTTTTAAATTTTAATTTGACAACATAAATCCACAAATATGAACATATCAATTGCTCTCGTTTTTCAAGTGAAAAAGTTTTTGTAAAGAAATACATGTACCAGTAATTACATTGGAATAAATGTTATTTTTAAAAATAATAATATTTTGTTTGTGTAGCATGTTGACCTCTTTATTAAGGTCTTCCCTTTCAAAGTTTAGACTATTAAGATAGATCCTCTGTCTTCAGCAGGAATATAAGATCTTGTTATACATGATTGTGTATTTTTTACAGTATAATGTAAAAAAATTGTTATTTTGGCACACACAACTAATTAAAGGCATAAACATGTGTATGATTCCAAAGGGAAATTTAGTACATAGGGCATGTACATGTAGTTTTCTAAAACAAGATTGAAGAGATGTCCAGTCGCATTTCAATGTCAAATCCCAAAAATGTGCCTGTTGCATACTTATTAGCCCATCTGAGCTAAAGGAACCAGTAAATTTTTTAAAAAAATAATTTTATCCATTTATAATTGTCTAAAATTTCACAATATCATTTTCCAGAACCAAAGTGAAACTTGGCACAGAGCATCCTTAGTGCAGGGGATTCAAATTGTTCTTATGCAGGGCAATACCTTCAAAGAGATTTGTTTCTTTAATGCTTTAAAAGTATTATTTTTAGCTTGTACAATATTTGGGGGAAATTTACTTTTGAATAAGTAAGCGTAGATATTCTTATTTTTGTTTATGTACAAGACTTTTCTTTGTACTTGATTTAGTGATTGCTGCATTCTGCCAAAGCCGCTAAAAAAAAATACACAGCCATATGTAATATGTTCACAATATACCTTTTAGAGAATTTTACACTCCTATTGAGGAACCAGTTGCTAGTGGAAAGCTTCAAATTCGAAACATACACAACACTTTCTTCGTTTTTATAAAAGTATTGTTCTACTTACTGATTGCAACTAATGAAGATTGTTTATCATTATTATAAATACATTTGGATTTTTTGAATTATTATATAATTTGTTTATTTTATTTACCTAGTTATATTGTATATTAAATGATTTTAAAGCCATTTTTAAGATGGTAAAGTAGCAAAACACTTATGTTTCTGTAGTATGACACGTTTCACAAAATAATTGAAAAACATGATATATCCGATATCAAAAGTCATAATATTGGAAGTTAAACTGTTGTGGATACGATTTCAAGAATGCTGTTAGAGAGAGTACCCTTTAGACCTCATGCTCACACCAAATTAAAGAATTCAAATAAGGGTTTTTGAGACAAATCGAAAAAAAAGAATGTTAGCAAAGTTGACAGTCTAGACAGAAACATTTAATCTTTTGCTTATCGCTAGGAAGGAAGACCCACTCGTTGCTTTGCAACGAGCTTTGCTCTAGTTATTATTATTATTATGTTCCCCAAACGAAGTTTGGGAACATATTGTTTTTACTCTGTTTCTTATTATTATTATTAGTATTCTTTTTTCTTCTTATTTCTTCTCCGTATTTTTTGAATGTTTCAGAAATTTCACCAAACTAAGTTAAAACCTTTTTAGGGTTAGTAGGCATGTTGTGTAGATGTGCCAAGAAGGTCATTTTGCGCGCATTCGCATGCACGTGCGGGCGCGTGCAATAGTAAAATGACTGATATATTTAATATGGTTGTAACTTTTATATTTCTTGATAAAATGTTTAGAAACTATTACATAAAGATATATAAGTTGTGTAGATAAGATGCATGGGCAAATTTGCATGAACTCACGCGCATGCACGTGCGCTTTGCTCTGATTGGCTGAAACAGAAATCTCAATATCTTTTTTGTTTTATGATGAAATGCTTTGAAATTTATAACATAGACATGCATTAGGATGACAAAATGAAATAAAATTTTTCATGAAATCAGCCATGCGCGTGCGCTGCATCTGATTGGCTGAAACTTTAAATGAGTATAACTCCCTTAATTTTCAAGCAAAAAGCATGGGATTTCCATAGATAGCATAAAGGACTTACAGGATGGTATGGTCACCATTCACATGCATGCACGTGCGTGCACGTGCGCTTTGCTCTGATTGGCTGAAACAAAAATCTCAATATCTTTTCTGTTTTTTTTCAAATGCTTTGAAATTTAAAACATAAACATACTTTAAGATGACTTACAATATGATATATAATAATTTTCATGAAAATACGCGCATGCACGTGCGCTGCAATCTGATTGGCTTAAACTTTAAATGGCTATAACTCCCTTGTTTTTCAATCAAACAAGATGGGATTAAGAACATAGATAGACATAATGGACTCCAAAGAAGGTATGGCATCATCCGTGGTGCAGGCAAATGATAAAACAGTGTAGACAAGATGTTGCTTATTTAATAAGGCTTACAGGGAATATGGCACCAAAAGGGAGTTGGGGGGGCGTTTGGGACCGAACGGTTCCCGTTACAATTAGCACTAGTTATTTTTTTTTTCTTCCCGGGTTTTTTTTGGGAATATTTTAAACATACATCCGACAAGGTGAAATGTTTTTAGGGTCAGTAGACATGTTATGTAGATTTGCGGAACGAAGGTCATTTTGCGCGCACGTGCTTGCAAGAGCGTGCACGTGCAACATGTGAAATGACCGATTTAATTGATATAGGCGTAACTTTTATAATTTTTGATGAAATGCTTTGAAACTTATAATATAAGGATATATTAGAACATAAAATATGACATGGGCAAAATAGCACGATCTCACGGCATGCACGTGCGCTTCGTTCTGATTGGCTGAAACTAAAGTCTCAATATCTTTCTTGTTTTTCGACAAATCCTTTAAATTTTGAAAATAGCCATGCATTAGTATATCCTACAACATGATATATAGCAATTATCATGAAAACACGTGCATGCACGTGCGCTGCAATCTGATTGGCTTAAACTTTAAATAGCTATAACTCCCTTGATTTTCAACCAAAAAGGATGGGATTTAAATAGTAAATACTGGACTACTACAAGAAAATATGGTCACCATGCACATGCAACCCCGTGCATGTTGTGCGCTGCAATCGATTGGGGAAACTTTAACAGCTATAACTCCCTTCGTTTTAAAAAGGGGGGAGATTTAAAATAGATAGATGTAACGGACATCTACAAGAAGATATGGTTAATGCTAGTGTGCACTTGCGTGCATGTGAAATGAGCAAAAAAAAAAAACACTTGAATGAGCGTATCTTTTTAATACTTTTGGATTAAATACTTTAAAAATTTAGTATATTTAAAAAATAGATTGTGTAGACAAGATGATATGGTCATTACGCACATGCATTCACGACACGCGTGCAATGCTAAAATTTGAATGAACTTTGTACACTTCTGGGTAAACGTTTTAAATCTCAAATGCATCGAGTTTGTCTTATTTAATGAAGCTTACAGGGAATATGGCACCAAAAGGGAGTTGGGGAGCGTTTGGGGAAAATTGTAACGGTCCCCGTTACAATTAGCACTAGTTTCGACTGCATCGATGTGTCGTCTTTCAAAGCCTAACACTGTCTGTAATTTCATAAAGGCTGGTAAAATAGGTTTTTGTAGCTAAGCAGGACTGTTCCAGTTTTTGGGTTTAGTAATAAAGCAAAGAGAAACCTGATTTTTTCGTTGTACATTTAAATAAAATAAATTTATGAC